GAACTGGAAAGTGACCTGAGATGACATGATGTGAATTGGAGCTATAGAAATAAACTGAATAGAATTAGTTTTAAAGAATTCTGTAGAATAGTGTAGAAATGTGACCAATATGGACTATAGGTTCCATCTTTTATTAAACTAAAAAGATCCGATTTCTGGTCGTTTTTTGCAGCAAAACAGGAAGTTGCAGAAAAACATCAGAGTGAGGTTAGAGTAGAGCGACTGTGGCGGACGCCGCCATGTTTCACACTCAAGAACAGCAGATAGAGACGCACATCTTAGATAGAAAAACTCAGCTAAACAAGGCAGTTTATTCCTCAACTTTCAGGGAGACGGACCTCCACCTGCATTTTCTATTTAGGTTTTATGATTCTATTTTAAACATTTTCAGAATTTTGTCTTTTATTTAGAAATCCATAATTTTGACGTTGGCAGCAGCATTTCTATCATGTCGTTTTATTACTTTTCTATTTTTATTATGTAAAAAAGGAAGTAAAACAATTTAATGTTTTCCGGAGCAGAAACTTAATTCTTTAATTTTCCCTTTAGGTATGCTCCCCCCTCCCATGGGCATAATGCCACCCCCACCTCCTCCTCCCGGCAACCAGCCCCCCCCTCCTCCATCCGCTGCCCTGCCGCCGTGGCAACAGCAGGCTCCACCGCCGCCTCCTACCAGCAGCATGGCGACCAGCACCCCGTTACCCTGGCAGCAGAGTAAGCGATCAGGAGGCCGCGAGCGTCCGGTTAAATTTCCGCCGCGTCTAATGGTGTCCTCTAACTCCGCAGATACAACCACCACCACCTCAAGCCCCGCCTCCAGCAGCCTGCCGCCGTGGCAGCAGCCCCAGCAGCCCGCCGCGTCCGCAGCCCAGCCGCCGCTCCCCATCGGATCCCAATCCATGGTGCCGCCTCCGCCCGGCGTGCAGCCCCCGCTGCCCCCCGGGGCGCCCCCGCCTCCTCCCCCTCCTCCTCCAGGCTCCACCGGCATGATGTACGCCCCGCCGCCGCCTCCGCCACCTATGGACCCTTCCAACTTTGTCACCATGATGGGCATGGGGGTGCCCGGCATGCCGCCCTTCGGGATCCCCCCCGCTCCCCCTCCACCTCCTCCACAGAACTAATCCTGCCACAGAAAAAGTTTTCACACCCTCCCCTTCTCCAGCAGGACGTGACGCACCAGCTACCGACTGACGGCGAGGACTCGAAGCAGAAATGTCTAAGCGGCGCTCTAATTTTATTGCTCCAGCGGCGAACAGCTGGAACGGTCGGCCATCTTCCCTTCCTCCCCGTTTTTTTTTAAATTTTTTTTCATGGACACGCCAGTGTTTGTGTGGATGTGAACACCATGGCTACGGAGAGAAATTGGTTCCAGTATTATCGTAAACGCCTTTCAGGAAAAAGGAAATTTGCTTCGTTTTAAAAATGAACATTTTAAAAATTCGCAAATTAAAATTTTGAGTAACTTATAATGTATATCTAACATAACAGCCAATATATACATTTATTTTTTCACATTTCAATTTTTGCAATTTTTCGGGGGATGTGAAAAGATTGTTAAAAAAAAAATTAAATCTGGAAACTATTAAGATATCGGTTTCACTTCAGCGTTCATATTGTAAATTACATTTTAAAAATATTTTTGAAACAATTTCTCCTTTTTTTGCAAGGCGTTGGCTTTCAATAATGCTGAACTAGATTTCCCTCCATATGTTTCTGCGTCACACGCGTGTCACTGTCTGCTCTCGGTTATCATTAATTATCCGAAATTTGGCAAAAACTCAAAACATCCCATAAACTTCCACCGGTTTGAACCGGTCGGAGCTAAACTTGCATGGTTCACCTGAAGTGACTGGTTTTCTGTTTTGGCCTGAAGCTGAACAAGATGAATATTTTTGTAATAAGTGAAGTGTATGTTAGCTGTGTTAACCATTTGTAGTTTGGTTCTGAAGAGGAAAGTTTTTATGTTTGGTTCCTGACAAAGTGTCCTGCTGACTTCTGGGGATAAGGTTCATGTCCCTCAGGCTTCAGAAGAAAAATGTTTGGTTTTTTTTTTGGCATAACTCTGTTCTGAATGAAAACCTGTTGAAACATTGCCTGGTTTAGTAATAAACTTATCAAAGTCACCTTTTCAGGCTCTCTGGTTTCTCTTTCCATCCATCTAAGGTCCTTTGTTTTCCTGCCGAGGAGTTTTTTTTTTTCTCCCTCTGAGGATTTCTTGGCTGTCTTCCCTAATGTTATGTAACGTAGTTTCCCTGCTCGTTCTGCTGCTTCCTTTCACTGCAAACTTGCTAAAGGATCTGATGGCAGCCATTGGAACAAGTTCTGTTTATTTTTCTTGCCTTTAGGACATCTCAACACTTAGTTTCAGTCTATTAAATTAAAATTTTTTTTTTGAGCATGTCATCAGAGGGGCTCCGTAGAATTTAGTTTCAGACTCAGTTGTTGAAGTTTAGGCCAAACGTCAGCAACCATACAAGACTTTTTCTTTTTTTTCCCTTTATTCCAGCCAAATAAAGTTTCTTTGGAGTCTTTAAAAAAATTCAAACTGATTATTGCTAAATATCGACTATATGAAAGTTTTCATCTTTAAACTATTTAAGTTTTAAGGTTTAGGAATAAAGAAAAAAGACACTTTATAAAAGAAAGCCCTGTATTGTTTTTTTAGCCTGACCAAAATAAAAAAATCTAAATGTACTGTTTCTAGGGTTAGAGGTTTACAGATGTTGGTGCGTACAGATGTTCTTTGCTTCAGTTTTCACCAATTTAGTGTTTTAACGTTCTCAATTTTTAATCCAGCTTTGATCAGCATTTATTAATTTCTAACCCATGTTTATTCCCATTTAAATTTATACTACTTTTTTAATTGTACCTTTATAAATTGTTTTACTTTTTTTTAATCCATTTCTGAATTTTAGAAATTATTACATTTTTAAACTCCCAATATTCTTACGTAATTCATTTCAATGTTTAAATCCAGTTTTAAATGTTCAGTTTGTTTAAAACTTCCATAACCATGGGCGGTTCTAGACGGGGGACCAACGGGGGCCTGTGCCCCTGTAGATAATGTCCTGGCCCTTATATGGCCCCTGTACCGGACCCCCTGTTGAAGTCCTTTGTTTTAGATATTTATAGAGCCACAATTTTGTTTTTTTTTTTAGTTGTTTTTTTTTTTAGTTTTTTATTTTTAATTTAACAATAATCCAAATGACAATTTTCATGCCAAAAAATATATATTTTCAGTTTAAAAGACATTTTAATTAAACCCAATTGAATGGAAATTTCACTTTATGCAGCTCTCTTACTATATTTGAATCCTTTTTTAAATTTTTTTTTGTTTTCTGTTTCAAAATTCGGGTGAAAATTTTTGTTTCCTCTACTGTGGCCCCATGAAAATACACCCTCAGATTAGAAGGTGTGAATAATTCTCAATAATTTTCAAAATACAATTTGTGGCATCTCTATAGCATAAATATGGACCAGGATTGGGGCCACAGAAAAAAAAAAAATAAAGTTAACTGATTTTTTAACATTTCTGTTTAATATGGGAAAATTCCCAGAATTCTGACTATAATCTGAGAATTGTAGATCTTAATGTAGATAGGCTCCATGAAGGCAGAGATGTGGAGCACTCAGCTTCACTGATAAAGATGTGAGTTGATTGGGAGAAACAGGAACACATTGGTGGAAAATGATGGAATTAGGCGAGTTTTTCCGTCCCTGAGGGTCCCTGCAAGAGAAACAAGAGAGCTAGTCTCTAAAATAGACATGGCTACGGCTAAACATGCTAGCATGTTTGTTAGCTGTCAGAATTGTGAGATTAAAGTCAGAATTCGTTACATTTGTATGGTATAAATTATCTTAAAGGTTAAAAATAAATGGTAAGAACAAATTCCTATACGCTCCGCCATAAAGTGTTTCCTGTCAGAAATGAGCAGAACCAGTTCCGTCTGTAAAACCAGATAATTTTTTTTCTCTTTCTGCGGTTCTGGTGCAGCCTGTCAGACTGGAGCTTTATTGTGAAAGGGTTGTAGCGGAAGCGCCCGTCCTCGCGTTCCCATCTTGACCCAGAGGTTATAAATAGGGGAGAGGCGGAAGGTTTCCGTGTCCAGCTGCACTCAGCGGGACTATAGAGGACAGGGAGGCTTCAGCTCCGCATTCAGCCTGATAAAGCCGCTCATTGGAGCCATGGCCAAGCCGCTGACCGACCACGAGAGGAGGAAGCAGATCTCCGTCCGGGGGCTGGCCGGGGTGGAGAACGTAGCGGACCTGAAGACTAATTTTAACAGACACCTGCATTTCACCCTGGTGAAGGACCGGAACGTCGCCACCAAGCGGGACTATTACTTCGCCCTGGCGAACACGGTCCGGGACCACCTGGTGGGCCGCTGGATCCGGACCCAGCAGCATTACTACGACAAGGACCCGAAAGTAAGCAGCTGATGCCGCAGTCCGCGGCGGCACGTCCGCACAGCTGATGTGATGAGCGCGCGGGGAGGGGAGGGGCTGAGGAGGCGAGGGATGAGAGGCCTCGCGCTTCTCTTGCTGCGGCGTCGAACTTCGTGTGTGTGTGTGTGTGTGTGTGTGTGCGCGCGCACGTCTTCTGTGCCGCTTTCCTCCTTTTATAGTCACGCACAGGATTCCCGCTGTTCACGCGCACTTTTTTCTCGCCTATGTTCTAGCAGCTCCGGCTCATGCACGCGCCTGGTGTCTTTTCCATCGGCTTCTGTGACCTTCACTGTACCTCCCCCCCACCCCACACACTGCTGCAGCGACACGCAGGAATCGGCCCACTCTTCCAACACACGCAACCGGTTGTTGGAACGCAGTTGCGTAACGTGATGGCGTCCATTCATCCCCTCCACGAGCGGCCGCATCTCAAAATGGCCTCACCCCCCTCTGCTGTTTGAAGGACTGTTTGAGATCAAACCTATTTGCTATTAATAATCAGGGCCGGATTTAGGAAATCTGGGGCCCTAGGCAAAGACAGGCATGGGGCCCTCCGAAAACAGCCCCATTCTACAGATAGAGAAATGTTAATAGAATAGACATCCATTATCTGTTCTAGGTTTTTTCCCTCTTTTGCTGACTTTTCATTTTAGCCAAATATTTTTTATCCAAAACATAATTAATGTGCACAAATAAGGAATAGCTGTATTAACCATACATGCCCCCAGGCAACTGCCTACTATTGCCTAATGGTAACCCCCACCCCCCCCTACCGACCAGCGCTTCACTAGTTATGAAGAGACAGTTTTTCCAAAATATTAAAATAGAAAATTTGCCAGAAATGGCTTTTTTTAGAACCTGGTAAACTTCACAATCAAAAAGTTGTGTGCAAAAAAGTTAAAGGAATATTTTTACAGTTTACTTATTTGCACTTTTTCAAATATTTTTTTTTTTTTTTTCAAATTAGTTTTGTGAAACTGCGTTCTTCTCAAATCTCATTTTTCAAATTTTACCCTTCACTGTCCCTGTGAGGACCAGTCTTGTTTTCGGCAGCCATCTTAGATTTAGTTTATATATATTATATGCTATAGTTTTAGTCGACTAAAACTTACAGCTCTATTCTAGATGATACAATAGCGGGGTATAGAATAATGCCATGCAGTTCATCATTGCTGTTGGACAGAAAACTTTGATTTAAAGAATTTAAATAGGTTTTTTGTTAAGAATTAATGCCCTACTTTATAAAAAAGTGTCTCACAAAAGTTGTGAAAATAGCAGATCTGGTTCAACACATCGTAATGGTTAATATAGGAGACAGACAGGCTAACAAAATGTCCAATAAAGGAATTATTTTAGACATCCACGGTTTCCATCCCAAAGCAAACACTTCCTGATCTACTATGAATTCTGCATTAAACACAGATCAATAAAATCTGCATTACTCTAAAAAAACAAAGAAAAAAACCTTCTTCTTTCTACTTTGACAGTTTTTGTTTTATTTCTTTAATTTAGCCCTTAGTTCCTGCTGCTCAGGGGTCAAAGTAGATTTAAATTCACAGGGTTTCATATTAAAAAGGAGAGAACCTACATCATTGCCATGGCAACCCAGACCTAAACTGAATGTCTACGCTACCTAAAATGTTGAAATATTTAAAAGAAACCGAGAAATTTTTTTAATGACATTACAAGGAAACTTATACATTATATTTAAATACAAACTAGAACAATTGGAGAGAAATATTCAAAGATCTATGTACCTTTTCATCGGGCTCTTTAATAAATAGAAATAAACAGAAAGCAATTAATTATTTGCTTTAGATATAATTTAGGAATTCCTTTTGGTAGAAAAGGAAGAATGTTTAGCATCACCTCTTGTGAGCTGGAAGAAATAAAATCTTGATAGTTAGACAGAGGGATTTTTTATGCTAGGCAGAGGATGATCAGCCACATTTAGTTTATGAAGTAGCGAGAGCAGGAAGAGCCGTACTGCTGAGAGCGAACCATCGGAGTCGCCGCGCATTTCTGCACAAGCACAGCTGGAAGATCAGAGTTCAGCCTGCAGTACCGGACCATGGCGGGTTATTTTCTCAGACCATAACGCTGCTGCCAGGGCGGCAGCATCACGGCTCATACTGCTTGGCTTGTCTAACAGATTACAGCACAATGATGTCTGAAACGCCACCCGCTATCATTTTTAGGGTCTCATCAACAAAAACCTACACATATGAGTCGCCATGTTTTTTGTCGTCAAAGATCCGTGTTTAGCTCGTCAGTTTTTGTCATCGTCATGAAAAAAAGGAGCGTCAACAAAATAATTTCGTCATCATTGACGAAAACGACACAAAAATTTGGAAAAACGCCACAAAAAAATGAGAAAAAAAGTTTAAAAAAAAATCTTGAGGGAAAAAAATGAATGACAAACTGTATAAATATCGGTTGTTGAACTTTTGCAAACACCTCATAAATGAATCTCACCTCCGGATGGTCCAGGAGTTAGGCTCAGTTTTAAAGGAGGACACATCCTTTGAGGATTGGAGGAGGTTCCACCTTCCATCGATTTTAAAGTTTCATCAACCGTGTTGATAAAACTGTTAAAGGTTCACTATGCAACCGGTGTTGATTTTCCAGCGAGGCTCCCCCCAGAGGGCGAAAGTAAAAGTGCACTGTCGTAAATATGCACAGCGGTTCTCCTGGTTTCTCCGTCAAACCAGGCGCGGTTGTTTTGAGCTTAGCAGACAGGCGAACGCAACGAATCACCATGTCTACTGCGGTATGTGACTAGCCATCGCTTATAACTTCAACAAAGAGAAATAAATGTTCATATAAAAAGTCATAATACAAACAATGACACTTTTTTGGTCGGGGACTCATTTAGATAAAGGAAGAGGGACCATGCATTCCGTGGTTGACAATAAATCACAGTCAGACAAAAAACGCTTCTAGGATCGTCGGTAAACGCTAGTTTATACATAACGTTACTAGCTTCGTGAGGTTTATGGCTAACAAACGCGACTACATTTTGTACTGGTTTCAGATTTATGCAGCTCATTGCAAAACGCGATTCAAACCCAATCTGCGCAAAATAAGGAATTTAGTAAAGTAAATACACAGTCGTGAGATACTTCACATGTGAAGCAAGTTTGCCAAATAGCAAGCGATGCAGTTATCACCTACCACAACCACAATGTTTAGGCAGCAAGCTAACTAACTTGCTAAACATCCCGCTAGCTACTTAGCTACTCAGCAACAGACCACGATCATACAAAAGTCGAAAAAAGGCAGTACAAACAATGACTAACACAGTGAAAGTATGAACATGCACACAGAGAGAGAGAAACCATTCCAAAGTTACTTACAATCGCATCAGCAGAAACGCGAGGTCGGCGTCACACATACAGCCCTCTTTTTATTTTAGCTCTCGCAATTAAGAAAAAGCTTGCCCGATGTTCAGCCGTATACGACTCCGCTCTCTGTCCAGAGCCCTTTTCCTCTTTCTTGCCTGCTCCGACATGGGCTTTCGCTGTTTTCATGCTGGTTCCGCCATGATAACTGCATAAAGGTCGCCACTGCGCTAGCAACGAGCATGCTTTTAACTGGGGGGTGTAGCAGTTCTCGCCGTAAAGGAAGACCGACTCTCGCAAGACTTCTGAGCCTGTGGGTGCGGGTCGGTGCTCCTGCAATTGCAAGTGCGGTATTTCCCCCACAGACCACCAGGGCGGCCGAGAAAACCTTTGTTCGACCTAAAATGACTCATTTAATCATCCAAAACGTTATGGAACACATTAATTAACTGAAAAATGTTGCATAGTATGCCTTTAAGTTCGGAAAAGAAGCTCAAGGCGCAGAAAAAGCTAGAGAAAATGCAAATTTTAACAAAAGTGGATGAAAAACGAATTAGTCATCATGGCTGCAGCCTGTCAACAGTTAAGATGACGCAGTATTAAGCTAAGTTTATATTGATATATATATATATATATATATATATATATATCAGTGATGGTGAGATGAAGCCTCATGAGGCTTTGAACCGTTTGGCCAAATTGCTTCAACGATCCCCACAGTTCATGAGGCTTCATATGAACATGTCACCACCTACTGGTGGAGTGCCGAACTACAGTTTTGCAATAAAATGTGATTTATTTATTTTTTGCAACTGTTTTTTTCCCCCCTTTTAAGTTGTGTGTAATAAAATCTTTTGTAAGTTTATTTTAAGTGTAAAATTTCTTAGAACAATCATTTAAGGTGCACAGTTTTTCTGCCATTTTAGTGAAATAAACTCAAGCAGACAGTGAAAGCGTTTGTTCAAATCTGGTAATGATGAGCAAAATGAAAGGTGTTAGTCATTTTTATTTAAACATAATAGTTTTTCCATTTTTTTTTTTTTTGGTTTTAATCAGGTTGGAAGTTGTGTTCAACCAATCTTTTGTCTAAACCTAATTTAACCAATCTATATTTTTATTGTGGCAAAACAATGCAAATTAGTCTCATCAGCCAAAATGATTAAGTTTAATCGCAAATTTCAAAAGTAAAAGACAGGTCTTGAACCATCAACCTCTAGAGTGGGAGCCTGACCCTTACAGATGACACCACTTATGGAGATATCAGTTGTTGAGAGAAAATACTCCTTAACAATGACATGTTAACACTCGATTTGTCCGGTGGTTTGCTCAAATTTTCATCATTACATTGTTTATTCTAACCAAATTAGCTTTAAGCAACTAGATTGGTTGTTTTTCCAACCAATCTATTCTTAGAATCTATCCAAACTTTATCCAGCTGACAGCAGCTCTCCTCCAAACTCCCACATCTTAACTGAACACTGAGGCTGTTTAGATGCCTGTCAAAATTCTTGCGCTTTCTGAGCCACTTCCCGAAGCGGACATCATCAATTTTGGCCCCTCCTCTAAATGAATCACGTCTCGACACGCGCTTCGTGGAAACGCCCCCTCCATTACTCGACACACGCCTCGAAGCCTCGGCTAATCTCATGACATCACTAATATATATATATATATATATATATATATATAAAATGAGAATCATAGGTACTTGTTGATTGCATTAGCTATTTCTAAAAGCATTAAGAAAGCATTAAAAAGTATTAAATTAGAGTTACTCATTCCTGTATAAACTTTGTAAAATATGTTCTTTGCTTTAACTTCTCAAAACCCACGATTTAAAGCCTTTAAAAATACCTCAGAATGCATGAAAATTATACTGGTAAAATGTTTACTAATCCAGTCATGTTAGACGTCGTTGGAAAGCTTAGATTCTCCACAATTCAACCACCAAATTCATTTTATGGACGCAGCGAGCACCAAAGCACAGTTAACACAGATATAGCAGCATGACAAAGCAGCCACAACAAGCAAGCAGGTCTTTACAACTGCTGTTCAAAAAAAAAACTATTATTTTCAAGAATTAATTCTTGTTTATAGTGATGCAGCTTGGGTGTTTTACCCAATTTTTAATGTATATGTTCAGAAACTAGTAGATGTTAGCTTTCAAATAACGTATCACACAGGTAATGTGGGCTTACAGTTCCTCAGTTATTTGCTTTTCCATCTAGGGATGCAAAATAGGCGAGAATTCCCCAAAATGAGGTGGATGTTAAGAGGGTTAATAATATTGGAACAAATTTCTCTCCATATTTTTCAGCCTGTTGCAGCAGCAGCAAAGATAAATCAATGAAACTTTAGAATATTATTAAAAGGATTTTTATATGGCTGCCACTGTGTGGTCGCCAGAGTGCAGTCTGTGTCTGACAGTCTTGCTCAAGGAGCCTGAGTGGCAGTCATTGGGAGTCAAACCCAGAACCTCAGGGATCCCAGTGCAATGCTCTAACAACTAGGCCACAGCCTTCCCAACGGCCTTAAATGAATAATAGAGACGTTTTCTATCGGGAGGTGATCTTGTTTTTCTTTATTTTTACTGTGAAATCAAACCTGTAACTGGCGTCCAGTTTGGAGTATCGCTCCACATCCTTGTGCCCAAACACTGCTGTCAGTTCATGTCTTTTTTCTGCTGCTGTCGCCTCCTTTTAGTTCAGTCAGAGCAAAGTAGATGTTTTCCAACATGTGGAGTAAATAAATCTCATGTCTAAAATAAATCTCTTTGTTCACTGCTTGTTTTCTGCTTTCCTTCAGCGGGTCTACTATCTCTCCCTGGAGTTCTACATGGGTCGGACTCTGCAGAACACCATGGTGAACCTGGGCTTGGAGAACGCATGTGACGAGGCCATCTACCAGGTAAAGAAGATCAGTGACGCTCTCTATCGGTGCTTTGAAAGTGTTTCCAGAACTAAACTTCAGCTCCGTCTCTGAAACAGCTTCCCAAACATCTCACCCTGTGACTCCAATAACAAACACTCTAAAGATTGATGACCCCTAGAAATACACTTTAAATTACATCACTGTGTTTTCAATTGTTTAATATTTTTATCATGTATTAGATAAATAGAAAATATATTTACTTCCTGGTACATTTATTGGTTTAATGGCACTTTTGATTTTTTGTTTTACCTCATATAGTTTGGCCCACCATAAATTTCAGGTATTACATCATAATGACTGTGAATTCCAAATCGATTTCTATCATCAACAAGTTTTAAAGTTTCACAAGTCGACATTCTTATGACAAACTAACGTATCAATATTTGACGGGAATAAATGTAACAAAATAATTTTAGGAGCAAATTTTAAATGAAATGTTTTTTAGCATTGTTAGTTAGTTGCAAACAGGGTCCTGGGCCTCTTTGCATTCTCCAAGGCTCCATCGTAGGACGAGTCCCGTTCAACATATACATGCTTCCCCTAACTTAAATTTTATTAAGTATAAGTTACCATAGCGATGCAGATGACACACTACCATGCTACCAGGTGACTATGAACTATGGAAGAGGATTAGGGCAAGTGAAAAAATAGAAACTAATTTTTAGATTTTATTTCAGTTTAATATGGGGAAAAAAGCCAGAATTCTGACTTTTTTCTCAGAATTCTCACTTTTTACTCAGAATTCTGACTTTTTACTCAGAATTCTCACTTTTATCTCAGAATTCTCACTTTTTATCTCAGAATTTTCACTTTTTTTTCCTCAGAATTCTCACTTTTTTATCTCAGAATTCTCACTTTTTTTCCTCAGAATTCTCACTTTTTTATCTCAGAATTCTCACTTTTTTCCCTCAGAATTCTCACTTTTTTATCTCAGAATTCTCACTTTTTTTATCTCTGAATTCTCACTTTTTTATCTCAGAATTCTCACTTTTTTTCCTCAGAATTCTCACTTTTTTTATCTCTGAATTCTCACTTTTTTATCTCAGAATTCTCACTTTTTTATCTCAGAATTCTCATTTTTTTCCTCAGAATTCTCACTTTTTTCCCCTCAGAATTCTCACTTTTATCTCAGAATTCTCACTTTTTTTCCTCAGAATTCTCACTTTTTTTCCCTCAGAATTCACAATTCTAACTTTTTACTCAGAATTCACAATTCTGACTTTTTTTCTCAGAATTCTGACTTTTTTTTCTCAGAATTCTGACTTTTTTTTCTCAGAATTCTGACTTTTTTTCTCAGAATTCTGACTTTTTTTCTCAGAATTCTGACTTTTTTTTCTCAGAATTCTGACTTTTTTTTCTCAGAATTCTGACTTTTTTTCTCAGAATTCTGAATTCTGACTTTTTTTCTCAGAATTCTCACTTTTATCTCAGAATTCTGACTTTTTACACACAATCCAGAATTCTAAATTTTAAACTGCAATATTTAAAAATCTGTTAACTTTTTTTTTATTTTTTCAGTGGCGCTAATCCTCTTCCGTAATGAAACCCATTCATAAATGCAGGGCAGAAATTAACAGGTGCAGGGCACAAAATGTTCTTTAGATGAATCAAAATGAAATTTAAGTAATAATCTTTGGACAACAGAAGGCATTTAGAAGTTAGAACACACCCTGAGTAAATCCAGAAACAGGATTAAAATGAAAGTAAAATGCAAACATTGTGGGATGAAATGCATAATGATAAACAAATGAATAAAGGGAGGAGAGGCAATAAACAGAGGAGGGGGGAGAATAAATGAGGCAATAATGAGGCTAACAATAGGACAATGAGTCAGAAGCAAATGATAGATTTAACAGGGAGGTTTGAACTTGGGGCATTTATCTAGAGCTTTATCTAGAAGCTGCTACCACCTATAAAGAGCCAAGAGCTGAAGGCCCAGCTTCCTGTTCCTCCTTAACAAAGAAAAGATCAACCTTTCAGAATAAAATCATCCGGATGGATCTGGCAGGGCCGCACAGTTACAAGCTTTGCTGAATCCATGTGTTGTTCCTCAGCTGGGTCTGGACATGGAGGAGCTGCAGGACATCGAGGAAGATGCCGGCTTGGGAAATGGAGGGCTGGGTCGCCTTGCTGGTGAGTTCTGGCTTAAAACCAACGCAGATTATCCCTACAGACTGTCTCACATGTCAGAAACTGGTCTCCCACAGCTTGTTTCCTGGACTCCATGGCTTCTCTGGGCCTTGCAGCTTACGGATACGGAATCCGTTACGAGTTCGGCATTTTCAATCAGAAAATCGTCAATGGCTGGCAGGTATGTACCAACAATAAAAGATTATATTTTCTCTGCTGGACCTCATTGGACAGCAGGACACTGGACTTCCTCACCTTTCAGGATTTAGTTTAAGATCCAAAATCTGACACAATTCTGAAATTTTAAATGTGTAATTTTATAGGTTTGTCTCGCCCGTTATAGCAGTAGGAGGGTTTGTTTAGCTACGTCCCTTTTTCAGCCTGTTACAGATGGCTATAAATCGTAAATCAGTAAAAACTGGAAATTTATTACGATATAGTATAAGGGCCAAACTAGAGATTTTTTTTTTCAGATATGAGAATAAGGTCATAACATTTTGAGAATAATGTTGTAACATTATAGTCATAATATTCCGTAAATAAAGTCATAATATTACGAGAATAAAGCCATAAAATTACAAAAATAAATTTGTAATATTATGAGAATAAAGTCCTATTATTAAAGGGAATAAAGTCCTAATATTAAAGGGAACAAAGTCCTGATATTAAAGGGAATAAAGTCCTATTATTAAAGGGAATAAAGTCCTAATATTAAAGGGAATAAAGTCCTGATATTAAAGGGAATAAAGTCCTATTATTACGGAAATAAAGTGGCAATTTTTTGACAACTGTTCCAAGAAGCCCTTTCTTCCCTAAAATGAGGAATGTCGAACATCATGTCAAGTTATACTTTGGAAACGGTTTGACAAATAAGGAAATATAAAGTCTTTTAAAGCAACGGCATCAAATTATCGTCGGTATCACAATAAACAACTATGTCCGTATCGAAGCGGTTATATGCTGGTCGGAGCTCGAAGCTTTCTTTCTGAATTGGTTTGTGGTATGATTTCTTCATTCTCGTAATTTTTCTACTTTATTCTCATAGGTTTGACTTTGTTCTCTTAAATTTCCGACTTTACCCTCGTAGTGTTACGATTTTATTCTCATAATATTATGACTTTATTCTCAAAATGTTGCAACTTTACTCTCATAATGTTACGATTTTATTCTCATAATATTACGATTTTATTCTCATAATGTTACGATTTTATTCTCATAATGTTACGATTTTATTCTCATAAT